GCTTTCTAGTGAACCGCCTGATGGGGCTTCCAGTGAGATTCCGGCCACCCCGGTTCCCCCTCCTCGACTGAGTTTTCGGGATATGCTGAACAGAAACGGGACCCATATTGAATTGCTATCGGACGGTGAGGATGACGACACTCCGGACGAGGATGTAATGGTCGATTACAAGGCGGCCGAGCCGGACATCAAAATGTCAGATGCCTTTTATTCCTCACTTGTTCAATCCTGGGAGAATGTAGTCATTGTTAAGGTAATGGGTACGGAACTCAGCCCACATCTCCTCTATAGCAAATTGGTTGGCTTGTGGCCCTTTATGTCGGGATGTAACATGGTTGATTTGGAGAATGGGTATTTCCAGATTCGTTTCAATACTTATGACGAGGCGGTGATGGTTTTGGTGGGAGGCCCCTGGGTCATCTCTAAGCAGTACAAAAAATATTATGTCCATGTTCAGCCCTGGAAGGATGATTTTGACGAGACAAATAACCAAATCTGCTCCCTGGTCACATGGATCCGTCTGCCGGGTATGCCAGTTCATCTGTACCATCGCAAGGTGTTCCGTGTCATTGGAAGCATCGTGGGCAAAGTGATTAAGATTGACCAATAGACCGCGGCAAAAGCTCGAGGGAAGTTCGCTCGCCTGGCGGTGGTTCTTGACCTCACCAAACCAGTGTGTGCTCGTTTCACTATTCGGGGGAAAATGCAGCGTGTCGAGTATGAAAATCTACCGAATATATGCTTCGAGTGTGGGAAGTATGGGCATGGGTCGTCGGAATGTTCGGAACATCCCAAGGCGAGCGATAACAACACGGGGAATATGGGAAATTCTACAAGGAGTCATGAAATACCAGGAGAAAAACCAGTTGAATGTTCGGAAAATCCAGAGAAAGCGGGGGATGTGTCGGGAGACAAAATCTATGGACCTTGGCTTCTGGCTAAGACTACCGGAAAATCAAGGCATTGGGACAACAAGAGGGCCCCTCCGAAACTGAAAGAAAACACTTCCCTTGGGGGGTCACGCTTTAGTTTGTTGTCAGAGGATAATGGGGCTTCTATAGCTCCTTCGGGCTTCTCCCCTTGCAAATCCCCATCCTTTACTCTGGGAGACGAGAGGCGGGGCACCACCCCAAAGGAACACAATATAGCTAGTTCTACTGACATTAGCGAATGGCAGGTGGTTGGGAAGAGCAAAAAGGATAAGGGAAAGTTGAATCAGGTTACATCGTCTCGACACACGTCTAAATCTCAGCGCCCAAAGGAGACTGGGGTCTTCAATGAGCCCAGGCAGGCTTTGGGAAACAAACCAGAAGGACAAGGAGTGACTGGCACTTTGAATTCCAAGGTAAATCTTGGGGATCCATCGACCCATACAAATGGTATTTTTCAGCTACCGGTGGTGTTTGGTGCCGCGGGGGGCGGCCTGGACCCGACGAAACATCAGGTTGCTCATTTTGTCGGGAGTCTACGTCAAAAACATGATTGGAATTCTTCCAGTCCGGTTGGGATTGCTCTGCCAACTACTTCAGACATGGCTGTAGACCCAGACCCGTTACAGTCCTCAGCCTCACCGGTTGCCTGTGCGGATGGTGAGATTGTGGATAAGGCTGATGGTGAGACTGCAGATGTAGCTATGAATGAGGACGACGTTCAAGGCCTGAGTGACTCAAGAAGTCTTTGACGGTTGTCAACCCTCTATCGTGTATAGTTTTCTTATGAAGATTATAAGCTGGAATGTGCAAGGAGCGGGCTCGGCTGGGTTTCGCCAAGCCTTTTCTAATCTTATCCACGTATACAAACCGGATTTGGTTGCTTTGTTTGCACCCAGAATAAGTGGGGCTGATGCTGATTTCTTTGTGCGTAAGAGTGGCTTTGATAGGTCCTTCTGTATTGAGGCGACGGGCTTTTCTGGTGGAATCTGGTTGTTATGGCAAGAACGGGTTAATGTAACTATTCTTAGTTGTCACAGACAATTTGCTCATGTTTCGATCCAAATGGAGGCTTCGTCATTTCTGGCAACTTTTGTATATGCGAGCCCTCAATCTCAAACACGACTCCATCTTTGGGGGGCACTTCGCGAGGTTGCGTCTTCAGTTTCGGGCCCGTGGCTCCTTAGTGGTGACTGGAACTGTCTACTCCGGCCGTCTGAGAAGCGGGGTGGTTCTACTCAGTTTTATAATGTGAGCGAGGAGTTCGGAAATCTACTTTTTGACCATGGCCTGCAAGAGGTTCGTACAGATGGCTACAATTACACTTGGTTTCGGGGTGCGCTTGCAGAGAAACTTGATCGGGCCATTGCTAATGACGAGTGGTTTGATACATTTCAGAGCAGTATAGTTTCCCATCTTCCTCGACTCAAGTCTGATCACACGCCGATTATGATTTCTTGTGCGACGAGCGTATAAAGCTACAAGGAAAGTCCTTGCTAATAGAATCAAACTGTTGCTACCGCATCTTGTAGGCCCCGCTCAAGTGAGTTTTGTGGCTGGTCGCCATATCTCGGACAACATTATAATCGCCCAGGAGTTAGTCCATTCGATGAGAACTAAAATGGGTCGGAAGGGATTTTCTTGGTAAAGGTTGACTTAGAAAAAGCCTACGACTACCTTCGCTGGGATTTTGTCGAGTGTACCCTTCATTTAGCAGGTCTTCCGGAAACCCTTGTGCGAGGAATAATGACTTGTGTCACCACGGCAACCATGCAACTCCAGTTCAATGGGTCCGTCTCTGAAGAATTCACTCCCTCTCGTGGCATTAGACAAGGTGACCCTATTTCGCCGTATCTTTTTGTCCTCGTGATGGAGCGACTAGCTCATCTTATTCAGCAGCGAGTGGCTCAAGGCTTGTGGAAACCGATTACCTTCGCTCGTGGAGAGGTATCCATTCCATACCTTATGTTTGCGGACGACTTATTGCTTTTCATGGAAGCTTCAATAGAACAGGTCAATGTGCTTAACGCGGTGCTGGATGTTTTTTGTACTGCCTCGGGCCTCAAGGTGAGTGTGAACAAAACCAATATCTTTTTCTCGTCAAATGTGGACGAACAAACCAAACTACACCTTGCTCAACTTACGGGATTCCGGAGGGTAGATAACCTGGGGACCTACCTTGGCATGCCACTTATCCATGGCCGGGTTACTAAGCACACTTATGAGGGCATTCTGGAAAAGGCGATGAATCGGCTTGCTAATTGGAAATCCTCGTCACTATCGATGGCTGGTCGAGTTACTTTGACTCAATCAGTGCTAAGTAGCCTATCTTACTACTCCATGCAAACAACGTGGATTCCAACGACAACTTGTGAGGCACTGGAAAAGTATTGCCGTCGGTTTATCTGGGGTGGCTCTGACACTGCTAGAAAGGTACATCTGATTAATTGGAATTCATTATGTCAGCCTAAGGAGACGGGAGGGCTGGGCTTGAAAAATCAGAGACGGATGAATGTGGCATTACTAATGAAGCTCGCTTGGGGTCTCGTTAGTAAGCCCGACGCTTTGTGGGTTAGGGTTTTATGTGCTAAGTATAAGCTTCATCCTTGCGATATGCCGGCTGATTTCCACTTCCCGAATGGCTTGGTGGTGATTCGTGGATTGGCTCGGGTTTGGCCGCATATGATGAAAGGTGTCAGATGGTCCTTAGGTGATGGCACTCGGGCTCGCTTTTGGTGGGACACTTGGCTACCTTGTTCGGGACCGTTGATCAACCGCGTACAGGGAGTCATACCTGAGGATCAGTTGAAGTGGTCTGTCTCGCAATATGTAAATGTAGATGGACAATGGGACTGGTCGCTTTTTTCATCCAGGTTGCAGGCTTCGGACCTCCTCCGTATATCTGCTATCCTGCCTCCGAGGGTGGGAGCTGGCCGGGACCGTGTGTTTTGGGGATGGTCTGCTAATGGGCATTTCACGACCCGCTCGGTGTACAACTCTTTAATTCCAGATTCTTCTCATATGAACCGCAGGCTGTGGAAGACGATTTGGCGTTGGGTCGGGCCCCAGCGGATTCGCCATTTCTTATGGCTGGTCGCGAAGGACCGGCTGTTGACAAATAGCGAACGGTGTAGACGTCACCTTACTACTAATCTGCTGTGTGAATTGTGTCGCGCCCATCCGGAAACTACAATTCATGTTCTACGAGATTGTGAGTTCTCAACCGAATTTTGGAAATCAGTGGTGCCTCCAACCTGTTGGAGCAGTTTCTTTGGTCTGGCTTTGGTGGAATGGATTGATGCCAATTTGAGCAATAAGTTACAAATTCCTGATGTGAATTGGGATTGCACTTTCGGTGTTAGTCTATGGCGGTTGTGGCTTGGAAGAAACAATTTTATTTTCAATGGTGCTACCCCCATGGTTGATGGCAGGATAAATGAAGTCAGGAGTTACGTGGGTATTATCCAACAAGCAAGCTCTAGCTTCCGGAAATTAGGACACAGTGACCACCAACGTCTTGACCAAATGGTTAGTTGGGAGCCGCCGTTGGAGGGGTGGATTAAATGCAACTCTGATGGTGCCTTTAACAACTCTACAGGTATGGCGAGCGCCGGGGGACTCTTGCGCGACCATTTTGGGCGTTTTTGTGGGGGTTTTATCATGAACATAGGCTTT